GTTAGCTTTCTTGTGCCAGAGAACAAAAGCATGCCTACAGGAAGCTACTGTGAAGCACCATTTATATAGTAAAGCCCCATATCATTTTACTTGATAGTTACTAATTTATCTGCATATGCCCATAGCAATGCTAGAAGAATGTTCTGATGTAACATTACATGTTCTCCTAAAGTTGTTCAGATGGCATCACAAGCAAAAGTATAAACCTTTTATTTCATTTTTAACTAAAACTTGTTTTGTCCTTAGGTTGCGAGACAGAGGTTTTGAGATATACAGAGAAATATTTCAGCGGTATATGAAGTTTGCTGCCTGTATGTACTGTTACCATAGTATCATTTTAGCCATTGTATTTTGATATAGAAAATTGGGATGGAAAAGATAGATAAAGTCAAATCTGATTTGGACAGATTGTACCCTACAAAATGTTTTTCTAGCATATTGTCCAGCCCAATTTAACTATCTGAAACAATGAAGCATTTGCTCTTCTTACACTTGCAGAAACCATCCCAAAATTTCACAAATCTTGCTGTTGGGAAATTTTCCAGTTCTTTAGCTATTTTTTCTCATTATTGGTTTGTCCTCAAACAGAGTAGAAAGGCTCTTTGGCACTGATGGGATTAAGGGGAAGATTCTGGCTTTAAGCAATAAGAGTTGCTCTGAAGTTCCTGACCAGCACTATTCTAAAATTGTTTCAGGGACCAAAATCTCATTTGCATTAGCGGACCAAAAAGATATAAGTGCTGTTGGTGGCAAACATAGTCGAAAGCAGTCTACAGCTCCAGAAGATGTGCTAGAGCTAGACACTGAGATCAGAGCAGAACACTTAAAGGTTTGTGATAACGATCGATGCAATTGCTGATCAGACTATGTATGTAGGTAAGCTGATGTACACAGGATACATTCTGGGTATGTGCAGAATCTGCTTATGTATATGAAACCCTTGCAGATCCAGTCTGATGCAATTAGATGACAATTAACATCTACCTATAAGGCCTTGATCAAGCAAAACATGTAAGTATATGTCAGTGGGCACATTAAGTCAATGCTTAAATACAGCTGAACAGGATGGAATTTAAGCATATGCTTAAGTACTTTGGTGAATTAAAGGATTTGGGAACTGGTCAATCTGTATGGAATCCCTATGGTTTCAGTAGCCATGGAAAAGAAGGTCATCTTACGTGGGTCTTTTTGCAGGATCAGGTTTAATTGCATAATCCAGCCATCTGCATCCCAAATGCTTCTCTGCCCAATGTAATAGCTCCAGATAGGTAAGGAGCCTGAATGCCCCCAGGATTTTGTGCATTCAGCAGCATCTTTTAGAACAGCTGTGAATAATATAGTAAAACAGATGACAGAAAATCTTGTTGGGACTCGGAAAAATGTGGCTGACACACAAAAGTATTTACTCTAACAACAAAGGGATAATGCCAGACTTCTCTGTTTCAGAGAGACTCTGGCTCTGAGAGCTAGCACAACTATTCCATCCCCTCAATTTCTGACTTGAAGTAAACATCTATGGCACATTGTCTGTTCAGAGATTGGTCCCATGGCTAGGCACATAAAATGAGAGTGCAGCAAGAGTAATGTCTGTGTTGTCAGGGGATTATGCTAAAGAGTGCCCCCATGAGGCACAATACACACACCCTGTGCATACTACACCCCACAAGGATGTGATATAGCTGCCCATGCTACCAGGTTCTCTTTCATAATAAACCTTAAGACCAAAAGCTCTGTTGTGTCTGTTTTGAAGTGTAGCACAGATGGAGCAGGTGACCCATGCTTCACTGTGGCACTCTCTGCCATGGTCCTTTGATAATATAGACATGCCCCCAAGTGTCTGTGGATCCTCCTGGATCCCTATAATTAACACAGGGAACCTTCCTACAGACAAAATCTAAACCCCCAAAAGATGGATTCTGAAATAAAAGATCCCTGGAGGATGCAGGCTATTTCAGGAACTTCTCAGACACCTTGGGTTATCACCGTTCAATTTGTATTCTGCCTTGTGTCTGGAAGCCCCAACAGAAAACAGGACTGCATTGTTCTGGGTGCTGTACAAAGGCCCAGCACTGGTCCAGCTCCAAAGCCCCTACAGTCAAAGTAGAATAACAAAGGAAGCACTCGCCTCAGATAGGGAACTCGGCCACAAAGGAAGACCAATACAGGTACTCCTCACTTAACAGCGTCCCAGTTAACATTGTTTCATTATTACATTGCTGATCTATCAGAGAACATATTCGTTTAAAGTCACACAAGGTTCAGTTATAACATTGTTTTAGCCACCACCTGCTAGTACGTAACTACTGTGATGTAACTGGATTCACTTAACATCATTCTGCAATTTAAGGACCAAGTTAGGGGACTTCTGGAAGGGCTGGATGTGTGCAAATCAGCAGGTCCAGATGCTCTCCACCCCAGGGTGCTGAGAGAATTGGCAGGGGTCATCATGGGGCCCCTGGCATGGCCTTACAAGCACTCTTGGTGCTCTGGCCGGGTGCCAGAAGACTGGAAGGCCAATGTGGTCCCCATCCTCAAAAAAGAGAGGAGGGAGGACCCAGGGAACTATAGGCCCGTTAGTCTTACTTCAGTCCTGGGAAAGCTCTTTGAAAAAATTATCCAGGAGCATATCTGGGAGGGACCAGCAAGGGGGAGGTTGCTCAAGGGCAACCAGCATGGGTTCATTAAGGGCAGGTCCTATCAGACCAACCTGATAGCCTTCTATGATCAGGTCACAAAATCATTGAATGCAGGTGTCGTGGTGGATGTAGTCTTTCTGGACTTCAGGAAGGCCTTCTACACTGTCTCCCACCCCATTCTCATTAAAAAAATAGGTGACTGTGTCATTGATGCCTACAGTCAGATGGGTCACCAATTGGCTAGGGGGCCGCACCCAGAGAGTGGTGGTGGACAGGTCATATTCGACCTGGAGGGATGTGGGCAGTGGAGTCCCCCAGGGCTCAGTCCTTGGGCTCGCACCGTTCAATTTCTTTATCAGCGACTTGGACGAGGGGGTGAAAAGCAACCTGTTCAAATTTGCTGACGACACCAAGATTTGGGGCAAGGTGGGCACACCAGAAGGGAGGGACAGGATACAGCTGGACCTGGACAGGTTACAGGGGTGGAAAAATGTGAATAAGATGGGATTCAATATTGACAAGTGCAGGGTGCTGCACTTGGGCAGGAAGAACCAGCAGCATATCTATAGGCTGGGGAACTCCCTTCTTGAAAGTTCCCCTCTATGTGACACTGGTCAGGCCGCAGTTGGAGTACTGCATCCAGTTCTGGGCGCCGAACTTTAGGAGAGATCTGGCCAGCATTGAGAGGGTCCAGAGGAGGGCCACTTGCATGATCAGGGGGCAGCAGGGTAGGCCCTATGAGGAGAAGCTAAGGGACTTGAACCTGTTCAGCCTTCACAAGAGAAAGCTGAGAGGAGATCTAGTGGCCGTCTATAAACTTACCGGGGGGGACCAGAGGGGATTGGGTGAGACCCTGTTCTCCCAAGCACCTCCCAGAGTAACAAGGAACAATGGCCACAAGTTGATTGAGAGTAGGTTCAGGCCAGACATCAAGAGGCGCTACTTCACAGTCAGGGCAGTCAGGATCTGGAACCAACTTCCAAGGGAAGTGGTGCTAGCTCCTACCTTGGGGGTCTTTAAAAGGAGGCTTGATAACTACCTAGCTGGGGTCATTTGAGCTTAACTTTAGTAGGGGTCATAAGAGCCCTGTATTCATTCCTGCCCAGGGCAGGGGGTTGGACTAGATGATCTGCTTAGCTCTCTTCTGACCCTACTTCTATGAATCTATGCTTAAAGTTGCATGTTTCAAGAACATAACTACGACGTTAAACAAGGAGTAGCTGTATTGGAAAGAGAAAAGCAGGTTAGTCTGACTGGAGGCAAATAGGGCTTTGCCATGTGCTTCAGGAGCAGACATGTCTGAGAAATAGGTAACCAGCTCATTTGCACCAGAATGTGCCTCTGGACTCAGCTGCAACTGTTTTCATGGAACTTGCATAACTGTTATTCACATGTATTTGTTGGCCAGGACCCAAGGATTAGTTGTACAGCGGACAGTAGTGTATATATAGGGAGACTGAGGCTTCCTTCACCCCCTGCTTCACCCCACACTCCTGCTCCTCCACGCAATCCCTGAAATGATCCCCCCCCATCTCCTATATCAGTGTTTCTCAACCTGTGTGTCGCCACCCAGAAGTGGGTCGCAAAAAAATTTCAGAGGGTCACGAGCCACAGGTTGAGAAATGCTGATCCCAGGAAAGCGCCAAGACTGCGGCAGGGCAGAGTGGCAGGGGAGGGGGGCAGGAGAGAGATGTGAGGCTGGGCTGGGTGCTCCCAGGGGCAGGGTGGCCAGGAGATGCTGCTCAGGGGGTAGAAGGGACTGTGACCAGGCTGCCACAGGCCACCCCAGGGCAGGGGTGCTAGCCTCCCCCCCTCCTCCCTCTAGTCCGTGCCAGGGGCTGGACTTGCTTTGCTGCTGCCCGCATGAGTCGGAGCTGCTGCAGCCACTACACTCCAGCCTGAGCAGGACGGGGGCAGCTGGGGGTCCTCCGGCAGGGCTGGGGGTGCAGAGAGCTGCAGGTCAGGAGTGAGGGGCACCGGCAGGGCTGGGGGGACAGGGGCTGTGTGTTGGAAGTTAGGGGCACCAGCAGGGCTGTGGATCGAGATTGAGGGACACCAGCATGGCCCCAGAGAGGCCAGGAACTGTGAGTCGTGCACCAGCAGGGCCAGGGGGTGTGGGTCAGGACAGGACATGAACCTTTACAAATGGGTCCCAGTAAGAAAAAGGTTGAAAACCACTGTTCTACATTACTCAGCTACATCAAATCTTCATGCTGAGTAGCCCCTTTGCTCTCCAAGTAGTCTCAGTCCTATTGTAGTCTCAGTCTCCACTAGGAGTCTGCAACAATTAAGATCCTGTTCGGCAGGCCTGACCCAACAAGGTACTGAATGGTCCTGTCTGGTGTTGATAACCCCACCCCAAAGGAATTCCCATAAAACACGTAACTGTTCAACAGCTTTGTGAACAATCATGGCAGACTCTGAGCCCTTGTATTGAACTCCCTCCTGCTTCTCAAAGCAGCAAGCATTACAATAAGCATAACTTTACAAGGGAATTACCTCTAATTTACCACACAATCAGTGCTGTGTGTTTGTTTGCTTTAGGATCAAGAAATGTATTATATTGCTTCTCACCCTGAAATATATGGATTACAAATCCTGTCTGGCTTTTGGCCTCATAAAAAAAAAGAAAAAGAAAAATGAAAGGGACCGCTTTTCCCTCCCCTTCCCTCAAAGCTAGGAAATAATTTTAGCTATTCTACAGAGGCAAAATCTACATCCTCAGGTTATAAATTGGTGCTACTGCGATGGCCAGAGGCAGTCACTTTATGCACAAGGAATGTGTAAGCCTAGAGGCTACCAAGATGAACCTCTTCTAATCTTGACAGAGAAATGTGAGGATGGCCCATTTTTGCATTAGAGAATAAGCTCTTACTTTAATAATGTTCAAATGCTAGAAGTAAACTTCCCCCACTCTGCAAACAAAGCAGTGTTCTGCATTTTTTTTATGTGAAGCAAATAGCAATGCTATTCATTTCTTCTCGAAAGAATTTGAAACCAGCCCCCTTGTACAGCTTGGAGCTAACCTGTTAGTAAAGAAATGTTTATATGTTCTTTGCAATCATCTGTCAGTACACTGCCAGATAAATTACTTAGATGTCTGATGGAAAGAAAGCCTCTTGGCAAAGTCTATCACTGGGGAAAAGCCAGTAATGTAAATTAAAGAGAACTGAGCTTTGTCCATGAACCATGTAAAACATAGAATTTGAAGATGGTGTTTTCTCTGTCGTCAGAAACTTATTTAAAGACAAAACAAAGAAATAGGGTAAAACATAAGGGTTTCTATTAGTGGATCAAGTGATTTTGGTCCCAAATTAGGGCTCAGGAAATATTGGAGGAGACATTCTTCGCAAATCAAAACATCCTTGTCACACTGTCACCAATTCTTAGTGGGGTGCTAGCACTGCACACAGCCACTGACACACTAGATGCGTGCTAAAACTGGACATAAGTTAATATGTCCTCATCCCCCATCATGCACCTTTTCTATGTTTGTTTCATTCCTACAGAATTGTCATGCCAGGGAAGCTGTAAGAAGATATTATCCTGATGGGCAGATATTCTCTCTTCTTTTTCCAGATGGGACAGGTCAGGTTTAGTATCCAGCAAATATGTGTTGCACAGTGTGACAAACTTAACAGCAAATCACTTTAGCAACTCACCCAGAGAATTTTTGGATGGGAATTTTCTCTTGTGCTAACAGATAAATCACATCTCAATTTTTTTTATAATATAATTCATATTCCAGATCAAATTAGCCAAATCAATACCATGGTATCAGTTGAGCACAACTCAATCGTTCCAAAAACCATATTGACTGAGCAGGCAGAACTCAATCATTCTAAATACCATGTATGACACTACAACTGGTGAGCATCCCCCATCCCAGACCCTTCACCTTGGGACTTCAGTACTCCCAAATCCATTGGCAGGCATCCTACATGTAGACCCAAGCCCAGAGGTCTTCGGGTTCGGATGCCCCCAGATGCTCCAGGCAAGCATCCTCCAACCCAGACTCTTTAATCCGGGACTTCAGATCCTTCCTACACTCGATCTCAGCCCACAAGAGGCCAAGAATACCTTCACTAGAACTGTTGACCTACAACAGCCAAGGGGTCTGGCCGCTGGTATGTGGCAGAAATCTATCCTCCTGCCTCCAGGTTTTTTGTGAAGTGTTTATTTTGTGGAAAGTATACTTTCAAGATGCTGTTTGTTCCTTAACTGTTCCCTCAGTTATCCATCCGGTAATATCGCCATCCTGATCACGTATGTCAACAGAGTTCTGTTTACATACATCATTCTCGAGGATAACTCTTACACAGGGATCCGAGCGTTCTTCACCCCTCACGGCTATGCAACATGCTACCATCAGAATAGGCTCTTCTGGTAAGCACGAGTGCTGTGAGAAGGTTTTCTTGACAGCAACCCTATAAAGAGTGGTTTATACAGTCAGGAAGTCTGGGGGTCATAGGCAGTGATTTGCCTTTTGGGGTTGCAGCACTAGCAGCTAGGAATGCTGAGTGGGCAGGATTGTGAGGAGCAAGCAGAGCTGGCACACACATAGCAGCTGCAGTGGTGCCAGATCTAAAGAAGGAGCTGAGGTATGTGTTAGGTATCCAGGGAGGCCATAAGAGGGACTGCCAAGGAGCTAGAACTTGCTTGTGCACTGCTGCCACTTCTCCCCACCCTCTCCCCCAACCCTACCCAGCCTGGCCCCAGCATAGCTCTGCTTTGGCTGCAAGCTGCACTCATGTGGGAGCCTTGAGGAGGGGAGAGGGCAGGAGGTGGGGAGCAAAGAGAACTGACAGCAACTGGGGCACCACTTCCAGCTGCCCAACCTCAGCATCTCTATGGGCCAAAAAGATCCAGTGGCTCCACTGGCCATGCCATACACTGCCAACCTCTGGTGTTACCCATGCAGCTAGGTACCACCATACGTGCAACAGAGGTACAGAATCTGGAGACTAGAGGGACTCGCATGTGGTGTGACACCATGAACTGAGGCAGGGGCCATTCAGCTTAAGGTGTAGTATCCCATGCGGTTGTTGATAGTGCATGTGAGACAGCTTTCTTCAAGAAGCTGGTGGCTGCTACCCACCCCAAATCATGCACATTAATTGCAGACTTTGGTCTCGAGTCTGCAATTTTATCATTTAAATCTTAAATTTAATAAATTGAGTTTTAAGCAGAATTATACTCCCAGCCACTTGCTATTCCTCTTCCTTAAACTGGATTAAACCTAGTTATGCCAATGCCTCTGTTTTTGCCTTCCACTTTGATTTGTCTTGAGATCTTAGTGTGTGCCTCTGAAGGGAAATTACAAGGGCCAGTATCTTTGTGTTGTACCTTTGTAGCTTGATGGCACCCTTGCTTTTAGTTTGTTTCTCATTTCCGGTGAATGTTTTAGGCCATAAAGAATTGCTCAGGTGACCAATTTGATCCCTAGTCTAAATCCTAATATCTAATGATATGTGGTTTTCTGTAGGGATCACAGCTTTTAAGCCCTCAAATTCTAATTTCCACCCCCAAGAAAGTTTACCTCCTAAAAGCTGGGGAGTGGAGGAGATCAATACAGCACGTAAATATCAGTTTTTCACTTTAATCTCTTAAACTGGAAAGTAGGTATGTGCTGATTTGAATTTTACAAGTCCTGCCTGTGTTGAAACTAATTAATGGACACATTAAACATCTAACTGACTATTACAAATCATTGTAAATAGCCTTTGTAATAACACTTCCATAAAGACTACTGCAATCACAGTATTTGCCTCCAGACACATTGCTCTTTCATCCATCACTAAGAAGTACGTTTTTTACAACATGCACCCGCAGTAATTCCTAGCAGCAGTAAAATACCACTGACCCCATCAGCCTGACCCTGTATTTTCTACCCCCCTCCCCATCTTGCTTTCTTTCCATAACTCTCTGCTGCCCTCTTGCCTGGTACTAACTCTGTGTTTTCTCTAAAAACACAGTGCTGTTTTTATTTTCAGACACATTCCCTCCATTTATTTCCCTTATTTTATTTACATTTATTTTTCCTGAGCCTTTTTCTGGCCTCAGCTTGTAGAACACATTGCCTCATTTTTAATGTTCTTGGCAATTGAGTCGTATCGCAACACCTACACTTGTTCACATTCGGATAGCGGTTGGACCACAACAGCAGTCATGGATCAACAAGAAAAATATCCCCAGCGCAGCAGTAAATCCCAGAGAGAGTTAAGCATCATAGTCACAATCCCATGTTTGCCACAAGAATGAGTTTATGGAAATGCGCAGCCTCTGTATAAGCTTAGAACTTAAGCCTACTTAACCATGTTTCATATGCTGCAGTCAGGCCTTACAGTTCTCTTGGCTCTTCTCCCTACATCTGTCCTTGTGTTAAACCACAACTGTTGCGCACTCCCTTTAGAATTAGCGCACGCTTGATATGGAGGGAGCATTGAGGGCAAAATCCTGAGCTGATGTAAAGGGCACAGCTGCTTTGAAATCAATTAAGCTATGTTAACTTGCAGCCTCTGAAAAGCTGGCCCCTGGTTTATAGTCAGAGGTGCAACAGGGCAGCTCTGCACCCTGAGTGCCAGAGGTGCCTGGGGCAGCACCAGTTGCCTCACTGCCCACGGCAGCAGCACAGCCAACTATCAGCTGCAGCAGCAGCTAATTTTGCACCCCCAACTCCCAAAGGGGACACACCAGGTTGCCCCCACTTCACTTCCACTACTGTTTATAGCGGAACTGCTGTGCAGGGATTCCCCTTTCTCACAGCATTTCACTATGGAAATAAATTAGAGCTGCATCTCATTACTAGATAGTAAAAAATCCAACAAGCTTAATTAAAAAAGAACACTGTCATGCCATCTATTGGTAACCTAGACCAGTTCAAGCCTGCCTTCAATTTGTGGCACCAAACAACTTAACCGTAGTGTTATTGCCATCTTCATTTCTTCTAACACTTGGCACTCAACACAACAGGGGTGCTAACCAGCTCCCCAGCCTCTGCAGTTCTTGTCAGATTTGTACAGCAGCCATGAGAATCAATTTCTTTACCCCTAAATAGGAAAATTTCAAACTGACACATGGATGAATGATAAAAACTGACCTGAATTCCCTGTGTTGGAAACTGATTTCAGGTCCTGACGCCAGCTACCCTGCTGGTTGCTGTACCACAGTTATTGATTTTATTTGTATGGTGCTGAATTTGCACTGATTCTCCCCTGCCACTGCTTCGTTCATCTCTCACTCTCATCATTTGGCAAATAATTTCCCTGATCTGTGCACACATATAACTGGGATACGCATTCTTAATCGAAATGCCACAAGCAAACATATACAGCTCTTTGATAAATTTCTCAAGGTCTACAGGAGAAATGGCTGTAGATGCCTACCACAAATCCAGGTGCTGCTTTCAGTAGCCTGACTTTGGTATCTATTCAGGCCAGATACAGTGTTTCCACTGACTGCAATGGTTCAGATTCAGGTCCATGGAGTGGACAGACTAGTTACAGCAATGTAGCTTTTCACAGAATACAATCCTATGGATAGCAAAGGAGAGTTTTAGCCAGTGTAACTGATAGCAGGGTTCGGTCCACACAATCAAAACTGAGTGGGAGAGATGAACAGTGATACATTAAAGTGAGAACATAGTCCCAAATTCACATGATTTTCTCCTTGTCCAGCCTGCTAGATAACACTGTTAGCTCCCCAGAGCATAATTCTGTAGATTTTTAATCTTGGAGCCAGGGAGAGAAAGCAAACAGACCATCGGATTTGCGCTGTAATAAAAATGTGTGTCAAGCTGCAAATTATAGACAGCATCAAAGGCTACTCAAGGGAAAGGAAACAGCTTCCTATTTTTCCAGTGTGAAGGGAAATAGTAAGAGGTAGCATGTCACTGTTGAGAAGAGAGGCTAGTTTACACACAGTAAACTGTGTGCAACTGTGTCCTCACATATGCCTTCAAACTAGTCTTGTACAACTGGGCCAAACCAGAACGCATAGATGTAAGCAGCCCTCTCCATAAATAAGTTTATCAGCATATTATCCATGTAGCAGCGTGCTGAAAGACCCCTCTTAGCTCCACACATGCTAGCACTGGCTCTAGGAGCAACAGAGCTGCATTATTTGTTCTCAGCAGGGTACACTAGCTCACACACATTGCCCTTGTGTGGTTGTGCAGTTGGTGCTGGTGTTGGTATAAGTGCATGAAGAGCTCAGATATCTCTGTCCATTGCTGCCTTGTGCCATATAGATATGCCCTCAGAGCTCAGGCTGACAGACATTAGTCCCAGTGCAGAGTCCTAGCCACTACTGAAATCTCACCTATGCTCCCAATTGAGCGAAGCGGAAGCTAAGTCACATGCACAGAGGTGTAATGGGGCAGCTGGGCGCCCAGGACAGTAGTGGCACAGAGGGACAGCATTGACTTCTGGATGTGGGTGCCACCAGGGTAGTTGCATTACTATAGCGACAACTGTTAATTTTCTGGTCCCCTCTCCTTCTCCCAGGTCAGCACCAGGGGTTGCTGCCCTGGCCACCTCTGCTTAGTTATGCTACTAGACAGATACGCTACTGTGCTGGCTTTTCTGCACTGGGATGAATTCTATCCCCAGCATGTATAACAAAACCACAAACCAGATTCCTGGCCATTTATTTTCCAGCATGTCTCTTCAGGGAGAGCATCACATCTCTCTGTGTTAGTGAGAATTAACAAATTGAAGTGGCATGAAATCAGTGGGATGCCTAGATCAGAAAGTAAAAAAAGAGTGAAGTTCTACTCACACAGGTGGGTTTTTTTCCACGGTTAGGCAGCAGCTGAGTGAGGATTTTAGACTAAGCCACTTAGAGTAGAAATGTGGCACAGATTCCAGATTCCTTCTATTAGTGTGGCCTAACTCCTAGGCACCCCCTGCTTAATACAGCTCTCCTGGGTGCCTAGGCCTGGACTGGAGACATGTCAGAAAGGGACCCACTGAGGCCAGGTGAGCAAGGCGCTGCCTACACTAGCCCAGAAATGCAGGAGAAAGGAAGGGTGGTAGCCCAAAACTGGACACAGTACTCCAGATATGGACCTCCTACTGCCTCAGCAAGTGCTCAAAATATTACTAAGTTGTTATATAACAAGGTGGGCACCTCCTCTACCTGTGGCTGTGTTTTTAAAAAGGTAGTGGCTGTATTTGAATTTTATAGGCAGCTCCATGCTGTCAGCAAGTGTTACACATGCTCTAGTCCAGGGGCAGGCAATTATTTCAGGTGGAGGGCCACTTATCGAGTTTTGGCAAGCTGTCAAGGGCCGCATGGGTAGCCCTTCCCCTTGACAGGTGCCCTGCCCTCTGGTCGCCATCTTGTGACCGGAAGTCCCACCCCTTAACTCCTGACCTTTGCCACCAGAAGTCCCTCCCCTTCCCCCAGAAGTACTCCTTTCAGCAAGGGGTTTTGCCATCTCAGAACCAGAAAAATACCTAATTATATTCTAAAAAGTGAACATCTACAGTATTCATTAATTTGATTTAAAAAAATATTTTTGTCCTGATTTACATGCATTTGTGTAGTGTCCATAAAGGTGTAGTCTAAGAGGGGTGTGGGTGCATGTATATGGTAGGGTGTGTGTACGGGACTCATCCTATGAACACACATACACACACACTATCCCTGCCTGCATGTGCACACACACACACACACACTGCCCCTGCCTGCGTGCATGCTCATGCGCGCGCGCGCGCACACACACACACACCCACCCACCCACCCACCCCAGCCTGTCCCACTGCTCCCCCACCCCCCGATGCA